TTGAATTTGCCTATACATAAGGTATACATGCTCAATATATATAAGCAGTGCTAAGTTCTGGTTTTGCAACATGAAAACAGAAAATATCTGGTTGCTTTCTAAACATCTTGAAGACTCCTTTTCTCTTTCTAAACACTTGTGGTCATGACTGATTGCAAAATTGAAATAGAGACAAAAATTTAGCCCTAGAGAAAGCTCTCCCATTCTTGATTCTTCCAATAAGAAAAATGTATATTTCTCTTATCCCCTGCAAAATTAGTAAATTGTCAAGGAGCACCATTAAGGTACATTTCTGTTTACCAGCATAGGGACAAACATTTCAAAATTTTGATAGACATAAGACAGCTACTTGAATCTTTATGTTCTGAAAGACAGCTAGTTCTTCTAGTTCAAGTACCCTAAAATAGGAATTGCCAAAAGGATTACATTGCTTAAGGAAAACAAGGACTGGATCATTTAAGTTAGGGTGGATGGCATCCAGAATAGTGAAGAAGAAATGAGAACACTGACAGGTGCATACAAAGCTACTTGGTAGTATATCCAGTTATTTTAGCAGCATTTATTATCTGTGTAACTTATCATCTACATAAATATTGTCCCGAACATTTAATGCATATCTGGTTTATTCCCCATATTAATTCTCCACTTGAGTCTGTATCAGAATAAAACTTGTTTTTTTTCAAACCTATAATTGCCATTCAGGTGCTGGGTTATCAGTGGACGGCTACTTGTAGTTATTGTTACTTCCATTTGCAGACAGGAAAAATTCAATCTGTCAGAAAGCATTTTACACCTTATTCCTACTGATAGAGTAATTAATTTTCTCCAAATGTAGTGAATTATTCAAATTATCTCCCATTTTCCTCTGTCAATCTCTGTATTTATGTCAGTGTGCATTTCCTAAAATTCCTTCCAAACATAACGAAACAAAAATTCATGCCACAGATGTAAAAATATACTGTCTTTCAGATGAAGAGTTATTTTCAGTAACTTTGGGCTATATGGGTTTTTTTCTTTGCTGTGGGTACAAGGGAAGACCTGTTTCAGCTCAGAGACAATCAAAATCGCCATTAGATCAGCATGTAATATCAACAACGGAAATCCCCTGACTCATGTAGAGCTTGTTTAAGCAGGGATCAGTTGTTTCCCCTGTGTGCCTTAAAAGGCTTGCAGTTCTAGAAATTTACTGAGTAGCTGTGTGATCCTTGGTGGATAAATTACCAACTCTCAAATGCAGTTGGCAGCGTCGAGAAGATCCCAAGTAAGGAGAGTTCCGTGATTGTATCAGCTCAAATTATGTTGTAGCTTCTGTGACTTGTACAGCCCAAACTATACCCTAATAATCATTAGTTGTATCAATTGATCCTCAGACAGGGGGGAAAAATCCCCAACATCTTACGCTTGCTTCGCAGTCACGTTCTTTTGTGTGGCTAGGGGACTTGTCAACTGTGTTACAATAATTTTGTGATACTTGGTATCAGCTTGCTCTTTATGCCCTGGGAAGGCACACATATAATAAGTAACAGACACTGGTGGAAAAAATGTTGCTACACTTCTCTGGGGAAGGTCTATGGAGTGGGAGGGGTAGATGCATATCAACACAGACATTTTAAGATCAGTTATTTCTTGTTTTGCTGTCCATGTTATGAACAGGATACTTTATGCCTACAAAAGAAACAGTCATTCCTGCCTGAGGAAACCAATTTCATTCCTGACAATATCAAGTTTAAGTAGTATAACCAATTAATATGGATCCTTTCATAATTATTTTATTGCGCTGATGCACCTGATTGATTGTCAAAATCAATTGCTCTTCTTTCAAATAAAAAACTGTTGTCAAAGTGACCATTCAAAATGACAACCGACCCTGTAAAACATGGGGATTTATATCATGTTTATAGCTATATTGTTATGTGGACAAAAATCAGTGCTCGTAATATTTGTCTCTATGATTCTTTGCAAACTTTTGTCACACAAACATGGAGTTGTAAAATAATTTTTGGATCGCTTGCAATACAAAGTGTTTGGTACATAGAAGGGTGGAAGAATAACACGAAACATATTTTCTCTGTCCTTGTCTGTAACAGTCATGGCTAGATTAGTTGTGATCTCTGCAGCCTAAAAGGACTGAAGATTAGCTATTACAAGAAATTCTGTATGGACTGAGGTACTGGACAGATAATTCGTCATTATGTTGCATGTCTCTGCATTTGCTTTCCTATTGCCTTGTTCAGCCGCTGTTGTGCTAACAATATGACAAGGGCTTTTGGTATTTTTATTTTTCCTTGCTTCCACATATTTTATTATCTCAGCATTAATTTGTATTACAGCAGACAGGAACTGCACTTCAAATGTGTTCAACAAACTCACAAGGAGGTATCACTGTTCCAGGGAAAGAGGAACTTCCTAAGCTGCTGTATTGAGTAAGAGAACACAAAGACAAAAAAGTGTATGTATTAAATCAGGTGGAAATTTCCTCTAGCCTGGTATTCCACCTCTCATACCAGGTGTCCAGATAAAGCATAATAACAGACCAAGCATGTTGTAATACTTCCCTAGAATAATCACCTCATTTTCCAATCTCTTGCATCCAATATTTTTTTTTTTATTTAATGAATCCCAGTGGATATTTCCTTCTAGAAATCCACCTTAAATACAAATAGTAAAAAGAAATATCTTTTAATTTGTTTTTAATATGGCCATTGCTAGTTTTCCTTGATTTTTCTACTCTGCAGCTCAAGGTTCATTTCAGGTAAGTGCCTTCAAAAAATTCCCAGCTGCAGAAAGTAACTCACTGGAACTTCTTCCCATATTTTAGACATAATTTCCAGAATGTTGGAAGAATTCAAACATTACTTATAGACAAAGACTGGTGTACCAGAAGTCTTTGATTTCAAGTCTTGCTGAGGAACAAAAGAAAAAGCTCATGAATCATGATGCTTTTTATCAGTTCACAAGCCTACAAGTTCAGACATTCGGATGCCAGAGATAAAACAAATGTCATGGTTGTTCACTTAAATATTTTATGATCAGCTCTGAGATTCATATCCCTGTTTTCCTAGAACAGGAGAAAGAGGTATAGTGCGTATTTGGCATGCCAATTTTGGTCACAGTTTGACCACTCCTCTCTTTCATAAGGACAGAATGCTCTTAAAGACTATTTTTTTCCTTCTGTACATTCTGGGAAACCCTCTTTAGAAACATCGATGGGTGACAGTTTGGTATTTAAAGGATATATGCTCTTTACTTTCTGAACCTCAGCTCATCTTTCAGAGGAGTGAATTAGAGAAGAACCTTTTCACTTTCTCTGTCTCAGCTGACATAAGATATGTGATAAAGCAATTTTGGGAACTGGGCAGCTAGTATAATTGATCATACAGTCATAGCCATTGAGTCTTACAATATCTGGAGACGGCTATTGTTTTTTCTTTGCTATGTTGTTATTTGTCAAAATATCTGGACTATTTAAAATAATATAAAATAGCAGGATTTCACTTGCTTCATAGTCAGGTTTCTATACTAGTGAAAATTACTATATTGATGTTCACATACTACAAGCAAACTGTTTTGTCATCTTCCTATATTCCTTACATATATGAAAATACTGTGATACTGAAGGCATTACTTGTTTGTGGGTGTTGAATGTTAATATTAACATCAAGCACTCTATGTCTGTGGAGGAAGCTATCAGTCTGAAAAACAGGTTTTACCTCTAACCAAAGATTAATAAAAGAGATAATCACATCTTCTTCACTGAATTCTAGTATTTCTTTTTATTATTGTGAGTTTTCTGACACATAGCATTTTAATATTTTAGGGATGTTGACACAAACAGTTTCATACGGGAAGAATTTTTAGATTTAGTTGTGTAACCACAGCCACATTCTAGCCAAAGTTTTTAGAAATTGCATATAAATACAGCTACAGAAGTGGATGTATCTTAATTAAGACATTGCATAGAAAAAGGAGTAAAATCATTGTTAATATGCTAACTGTCTTGGGAACTCCCAAAATTCAAGTAGCTCCAAGGGATGGCTAGGAACCTGTTCAGGCATGCTGCTATTTCCCATGGGCAGTTTTGTCTTTAAAAGGTGGGAAACTACCCACTTGGGAACAGACTCAGAAAACATGGATTCTTGGACATTATGCACTGTGATCCCAGAAGAACTTAGACTTTGTTAGCTCTCTAATTCACAGGTTTGGGGTTTTTTTAGTGACATGGGAGTTAGTAAAACAAGGTTTGAATTTTACCAAAGTTTACTAGTGCTCCTGCATTCTGGGTGAATTTCTGGCTATAATGCGTGGCTAAACCAGTTGTTTCAGAAATGTTACCAATATGTATTTATGTTGCACTTCAAAAGAGAGCTTGACTGACAGTAACAGAGTCCGATTCTTTCAGGATTAATATGTAAGTGGTGGCTTGAGCCTAAGAAAATGAATCTAAATTCCTTTGTGGTCAAAATACATGTTTTTTCTGCCTCAAACATGCATCTGTTGACTTAAACAGCATTCTGTTGACTGGGAGAAGAGCAGAATAACATGTACGATTATTCTCTCAACAGTAGCACCAATTCTTTTCTTTGTATTTTGGTGAGGCAACTACTAGGCCAGGTCGTTGCTCCTCACCTCCCGTAGTACCATTCCACTCCGTTTCAGACTGTCAAGCCAGAGGGCTGCCCTCACTCCTGGTAGATTGACAAGCTATATCCAGGGTGCAGATGGTAGTGACATTTGCTCCAACTGCTTTAGCTGTTCTTTGAGCTCTGTTTTTTTGAAAGGGCAAACATGCTTCTGCACATGGGATTACATATGGTCCTCTTGTATAGACTCCTAAATGGACTATTCTACCTTTAAAAGCTTTTACACTATAACTTCTTGTCATCTCTATTTTGCAGATGTTAATCAGTGAGTGAGTGAGGGAAATTGCGGAAGTGACCTATGATTTTTTTTTTTTAGAAACATATTTTGTAGTAAGTGTTATAAATTACTTTTCCCTTTAGGCTGCTCTGGAGAAAATCATGAAAGAAAATCTGTTGTTAGATCAAGAATATCAAATCATTCAGGACTACTAATTAAAAGGTAAAGAAGACCTCACAGAAATCTATGCCAATAGAATCAGGGTGGAAAATGCCATGAAACATCATCAGCAGGTAAAGTGCTAACATCACTCATTCAGTTCATTTATCTCATCTCTAAAATTCGTTTGATCAATGCAGCTACTTAATAACAATAAAACACTTGCTAGTAATACCTATCACCTGAATTCTTATTTTCTTCTTGGTTACTTCACACTTTTCATATGTTCTTTTTTTTTATTGCTGTGTATTTTTATCTATCTATCTATCTATCTATCTATCTATCTATCTATCTATCTATCTCTATCTATCTATCTATCTATCTATCTATCTATCTATCTCTATCTCTATCTATCTATCTATCTATATCTATCTATATCTATCTATCTATCTATCTATCTATCTATCATCTATTTATCTATCTATCATCTATCTATCTATCTATCTATCTATCTATCTATCTATCTATCTATCTATCTATCTATCTATCTATCATCTATCTCTATCTATCATCTATCTATCCTACCTGTTTGGGTTTTTTTTTGTTTGTTTGTTTATTTTTACAGCACAGTTCATGTAAGGTATTCAAAATTCATTTCTTATGGATTCCACTTTTACACCTGAAATGTATTTATTTTTATATATAATTAAAATGAACTCTGCCGTTACATATAACGGCTCTCCAAAACACTTCCTCCTGGAAATTTTTGTGACATCAAGTCAGGCTCTATAAGCCTTTAATATAAAAACCAGTCAAATAAAAATGAAAAAAGGTAAAATCTAGTTTGATGATCATCCATGCCAGATGTGTAGTTGCTGGGTATAACATTTTATTGATAATCAGCTACATTTTAAAAGATAGATTTTATAATTTGTCAGTGCTGTGGAGCACAACTTTCTTGTGTAAATGTAGTCATTGTGTCAGTGCACAACTTTTCGTGTAAATGTAATGACAATTCACAGAAAAAAGTCTTTTCTGTTTCTTTTCTTTGTGTTTATATTCAACTCTCAAAATGCAAGACTGCTTGTGTCATCACGCTCAGAGGCAGGTTCAAATCAAAAATTTCAGGAAAGAATTTTTATTAACTGAGGTCATTTATGCAGGAACCAGGTTCTGGTATATTGATATTTTAGTCCATTTCCTAAAAGCACAGTGTAGAAGTCTTGAAATAAATCAATTAAATGTGAAATTTAGATTATTTGCTAGTACTTTACTCTTATCAATCCATTTTATGTCTTATACCCATACCTTCATTCATTGTTCATTTCCTTGTATGCTACCTCACTTAATCTCTAATTTTAAAATTCAGTGTTCAGTTTGTTCCTGCCAAATACAAATAAAATCTTTTCCAAATTTTTCTTTTTAACTCCATAGTTCTTCCACAGTTCAAGAACAAAACTGATTTTAAGTCATATATTCTTAGGGATAACCATATTTGGAGAACAAGTTGGAGGCAATGCTATGAGTATTGAAAGATTTTCTTAAAAGGACCGGTTTATAGAAGGAATTTAAAGTATTTTTTTTCTGAATGCAGTTTTAGGGCATACTTTTCAAGCCTCTCTACAGAAAAATATATCTATGTTATGTTATTATTGAGACCTTTTATTTATTTGAATGTAAGAATATCTGTCTTCTACACTTTCAGAATTTAATAGCTTTTAGTAGCATTTGCGAAACAGATTTCTCACTCAAGAGTTTACCTCTTCTGGACATAGTATGGATGATATGATCATGCAACTCAATGATGTAGTCTGGAAGCAAAGAAAATTACAAATGAGTTGGCATATATTATTGCTTTTTTTCCTTCTCAATTTGAATACAATAAAATAAACATAGTAAAATATGGCAAAAGAGTAATGCAATACCAACAGGATCTAGTTTCATCAGCAGTGCTATATAATCATTTCTTTTGCTTTTTAAAGTCTTGTTTATGAAGAAAATGGTTGTAAGTATGTTGCTTTTCCATTGGAGCTTATAATCAGCATTAAAATACATGTTCCTAGCTTGGGCTAGAAATAAGTGATGGTGATGTTTAGATTTTGGACGTTCTTCTGTGCCATTCAGCAGCAGTGTGTGTATGAAGAAGAAAGCTTCTATTCACAATATTAATATGAGAATTACAGATATAACTTCCTCTGATTTCCTTTTCATAATTCTTCATTTTGTTAAACAAATATCTAGCCCAACTATTAAAACAAAATGTCATTGTACCCTTATCACGTTTAGCATTTAGGAATTATGACAAAAGGAAAAAACATGTTGATTTCATACAGTACTTATAAAAAGAACTTATATTTTCTTCTTAGGTTTTTGCTAATAAGGGAATTACAACCGCAACAGAAAATCAATTCTGGAGTGTCAAAGTAATGATTTTTCTAGCTGCTGTGCTATATATATGTGCACAGCGCACTGGTAGTAAGTGTGGGTAAAGCCCTTCCCAAATCTTCATTTGCGAAGTCAAGCCATGAGCTGATGATGATGACAATAACATGAACATTCAAGAAGAGTGTTCATTCTTCCCTAAATCCTGAGAATTTTCTTCCAATTTTTCAAGTTAGCAATGTAAAAAGTAAAAAGGTAAATTGATTTTTTTGGATTTTTTTGGGGGGCATAATTTTAACTTCATATTGTAATTTCTCTAATTAATATTAATGAAGCAAGTTTGCCTTGGGCTCTTAAGTATCTGCTTTGTTCAGCCCCAGAAAAGGATCACCTTGATGCTGAGTGAAATAATGCTTTGGTAACATGAAGGGTTTTGTCATGACTTTGTAAGCTTCTTTACTCTGAGGGAGGTGAACTTATTAAATGGAGGGGATATACACTGCTGAATAGTAATGGGCTTATATTTGTTTGTAATGCTATCTCTAGACAGTATTTTGTAGAAATTTCAGATGACTGTAGAGTTGCAATAGCTATATGACTTTGAGATGTTTTGCTTATTAATTAATTTTCTATTTTAAAAAGCATCATATTTTTGGATAGTTGCTGGTCAGACCATAAATACATAATACTTTAATTAACAGATTTTTTTTCCCTAATAATTAATATTTTTCCTAACCATTTGCTTTTGAGCTTAGATATTAGATAGGGTATATATATATATATATATGTATATATATATAGTGTTGATAGATTATTTAGGATTTACATGTGTATTTTGTTTTCGCAAAATCTTGTGTGAAAAAGATTTGTAAACTTGTCTCTGTGGTAGAATTCCAGTAGCAAAACCTTGCAAAATGCAGCTTCTGCCCTACAAATACATAACAGCAGTTTCTTCTGGAAATCTCAATGATCTAGCATATTAGCACCAGGAATATGATTATGCTTTAAGCCAAATCTAATTTTTTACCATATCTATCTTTATTTTGGTGCTGAATAATCTTGGAATATCTATTCTCTGAGCAAAATGTAATACTTCCAATGTATTATATTAAAATGTCAATGGTTGCCCAATTGGATTCCCAAATACTGAGTCATGAGATACAATTATAAGTTAAGAACCTACTTATTCAAATCTGTCCTTAACACTGCAAGTGTCATAGTCTTACAAAACTTTGATCATTGTTTTTGTTCATGTAACTTTCATTTTAAAATGGACTCCATGCAAATGATAATTGCTTTAAAATATAAGTAAAATATTCATCTTCATATTCACAATCTGTATTTTCAGGAGGCCACATTACGGTGAAAGTTTGATGGAGAGGGACTATTGATTTCTGTTTCTGTTTTTTACTTTCTGGATAACTGACATATTGCAGTAAAACGTATGTAGGGTCAATTCATGCTGACTAGTTATTAGAAACCATGATAACAAAAGTCATTACACTGCAGTTCAGTTTTGACAGTAAAACTTCTGCAACATTATCACAAATCCTCATGCATTAGTGCAATGATCCTTACTACAGTTTCATATTAGAATCAAAAGACTGCTGTAGCATGCTTGATACAAAAAGTCATGCAAGTCAAGTGAAGTTCTTTTATGCTTTTATAGATAACGTATTTTCATGTCTTTCTCATGCATGTATCTGACTCTGAGCCCTCTTGGATATTTCTGTCTTTAGTGTATTGCTCTTCTGGGATATAGCTACTGCAAGAATAATGTCCCTGTCACGTAGAAAGATCAAATAGAATATAAAGTAAACCTGAACATAGTGCATGTCACTTTAAACAATTAATTCCTTCTGATTTTGTTGTTTCTATTCATTGACCTAAATGAAAAAACATACTGTTCTCATATAAACAAAAAAATAATTTGTCTCTTAATTGTGTTTTTTGTTAGTCAGTTTGCTTACCTGAAGATGTTGGATTGCTTCTTGGCTCCATAAGAGCATACTGAAAGCATGGATAAGATTATGGCATACCCCTGTCTCATTTCCTTACAAACCTTAAATGAAAAATAAAATTCAAGGATTCAGTGTTAAATAAATTAAAATTATCATAGAATAAATATCAGAGTTTTTATCTGCTTCTAAATTAAATGCTTAACCAGCTTTCAGAACTGTTTTGATCAGGAATAAAAATGGATAATGGAACTAGCATTTATTTTTTGCTGGTATGACAAGACTAGATAATAGTTAGTAAGCAAAAATGGGTCATTTATAGTATTTTTAACTGAGCTTCTTTCTGCCTTTAAAGTTTTGACACTGCAGTAGTTTGACAGAATAACCAGCTTCATATGAAAACGTGGAAAAAAAATGTATCTTCAGTGAGCTTTTCATTATGCAAATTTGCTAGACTTTCTTTGAACTAATTATGTTTAAACAATGTAAACATCAAGTTAATGTTATAATTAAATTTGAATCAATAACTCAATAAGTTCAAATGACTCCATCAGAAAATTAATACAACAGGCAGACAAATCAAATTATTAGTTTGATAGCAAAAGGAAGTTATTGAGCTAATTTGTAGAGAAGTTGACCTCCTTTCCATGTGCACCAGCCATATCAGATGCTAGTCAAGTTACAGTTCTGTTTCATAGGACCACAGTTCTGCAGTTGCAGGACACAGTGAAGCCTATAGGGCTTTAGTGTTAGTTAGATGTTACAGTCTCCCAGAAGGTGTCCCAATACAGGAA